CTACTACTATACTCTCTCTCTCTCTCTCTCTCTCTCTCTCTCTCTCTCTCTCTCTCTCTCTCCAGCTCACGCACTCTTCTCCAAATATTCTACATTATAGAAAATATTCCCATCTTTTATGTCGTCACGCATTTCCCACTAACCAAAAATTTCTCTCCCCAAAAAAAAATATTCATGCACTCCTTCTACTCCTTTTTTAATGGAGCTCCTGTTAAACCCTATTTAAGTCCTAAAAATCAAGACAGCATCTATGTTAATTACAAGAAAGTGGGTCTTGCTAAATTGCGACCCTCATAACATCTAATTTAAATCAAACCTAATTTAGTCCCCATGCTATAATTACTAGTAGTAGCCCTAACAAAATTAATAAGTCCAATGATCAGCCTAATTCTTGAACTTCTCAGATGGGATTTGCATCATACTCCTCGGGCCGGAAAAAAAAACTCGCCCTCGAGTTTTTGATGTTGCATCATCATCCTACCTAAGGTGATGGTGAAGCCCTACAACTCTATGCAATTGCTCTTTGTGTAGCATGAGGTCTAATGGTTTGGGCATATCTTCTACAACCCGACATTGTATACGTGGTGATTAATGATTTGCTGACTGGGAGTTATAAATGGAATGTGCTCTGGATGGCCTGGGAATGGATGCGCATGTTATAGTCCCACCCTGCTTCCACTGCACAAGGCTCTTCAAAAGTGACGCCTCGTTCGAAGTCATCATTTGCTATATTGACATGGGTTTCCAGCCGAAGTATTGGTTTGCTCAATCGGACCTGCTCTCAGCTGTCTTCAAGAGCCTGATTTATAGAAGGCATAATTTCACTATCTCCTTCTCCAAATAAAATGTGAGATTTTACCCATTGTGTCAAAACGGTTTATCATCAAACCTATCCCCTTCTAAAACCAATATCTTGTCCTCAAACTCCAAACAATCTTCCGAAATTGTAGTTTCCGTAAAATCCAAATCCTCATCAAGATACTCATAAAAAACAAGTGGAGAATCCCAATTAATGACTTGCTGAATTTGGGAACTGTTTGTTGAGAATAACGCTTCTCCTTGGTAGACACGGAAGAGAGTTACATAATATTTAGGGGAGTCAAGTTCAATACCTGATTCAAACTCTCTTTAATTAAATCGTTGTCTATCACAATGTTGATCAAGTAGTTCCTCATTGTCTGTGGCCCTACGCCAATTACATCAGCCTTGAGGTGGAGGGCTGCCCGACTTCCCACCAAATCTGTTGAGGATTGATATCTTGTATTCTGAGGAAATAGATCTGTCAAGGTGGAGTCAAGAGACGACTCCGGAGGGTCGTTAAAAGCCAAAAGGGCTTGAGGCCCTGAGAAGTTGTCCGGGCAAGTAGACTCGGTGGACTCGGCCCTGCGGGGTTTCGTGACAGCAGCCCCTGAGAAAAATTGTGTATCCGTACGTGGGGTATTTCAATAATTTATACCATCTGCTTGGGACTCTATATATTGTTGCGATGGGGGTTCTTTTAGGGTTAAGGGAAAAACGAAGATTTCTTTGTAACACGAAAACAGAGAGATGTGTGAGGAAGAGAGCCATTGTAACCCTATTCTTCATTGCCAGTAAAGAAGCTCTCATCTCCCCATGGACGTAAGCACGTTGCCGAACCATGTATATCTTTACGTTGTGGTTGGTTGTCTCTTTCTTTTGTGTTTGTTTCTTCTTTCTTGTTTTGTGGATTGTTTTCGTTTCAACACAAATCCACATTCCCTTCGATGCCATTGCGCATCGAACAAATCTGGATGTTTGGACATATCAACATCCCGCTCCAACCCATATTCAGGCTCTAATTCATGCCGGTCTCCATTAAGACCCTCATGATTTGGATCCAATATAGAGGGAACCTCTTCATTTGGGGCTCATTGTTACTAATCTTGCTCATGCAGCATCTATGCAACTATCTCTATCAAGTTGTTGATTTTCTTGTGCACTCGGATCAAACCGGCATTCTTACTGCAAAAACTTCCACAACCAACCATAGTAGTATCCAACCATCTTTGCACTGTGCTATGATACCAAATGATGCGAAAGGAGCCCAGGAAATTAAATTCGGCTGTCTTTCGATCTTAAAACAAATAAAATCAACATCAAAGGAGAAAAATAAGTGGTTGTATCCCATGCCAAAGGGTAGAAGAAGAACACATTTTTTTCTTCTTTCATAAGAAACTCTTCACTGAGAAAAACCAAGTCCTCCCTTAGGGGATCGTCCCACATTTCCTTTTGTACAAAAAATAAAATAAATAAAATACCAAAAAAAAAAACTCATATAAATCTCGTTCCCTCTCCAATACCCTTCTCCAAATATTCAGTAATATGGGAAATAGTGCCCTCTTTTCTCTCTTGCTCACGCATGACCCACTAACCTAAGATTTCACTACCAAAAAAAATGAACGAAAGAAGAAGATCATGCACCACTTCTTCTACCCCTATTTTAGTCTAGCCCCAATTGAACCCTAAATAAGTACTAACATATCAAGAAAGCAGCCACATTAATCGCAAGAGAGTGGATCTTGCTAAATTGCCTCCCTTGCTCATAACATCTAATTAAAACCTAATTTAATCCTCATGCTATAATTATTAGAAGTAGCCCTAATAAAATAAGTAAGTCCAATGATCAGCCTGATTCTTGAACATCTCGAATACGATTTGCAACATAAGTCTTTTCAAGTAATTGCAATCCTTTTCGTTCCAAATTTACCCAAAATAAAATTACATAAGATATTAATCGCTTTTAGGTAGCTTACTAGGCTCGAAATGGAATACAAAATTACAAACCTTGAACGTTAGTTTTGCAGCCTTTATGCCCTTCCCGCAAAGCCAAGAGTATGAACCCCAGTTTTTTATTTTTCTTTCAAATTTTTTCATTTTTTTTCTCAAAATCACTGTGGCCTCTTTAGGTTTTTGCATACTAAAACCGCTAAAAAGTAATCCATTACATACCAAAACCGCTCAAAACAAAACAAAACTCATACATGAATACAACCAAAAACAAAAACTACTTGAGATATGGAATGCACTTTGATTTATTTAAAAAATGCTCTTGGGCTGCATGCAAAATACCTGGATGGAGATGCACCGATCATATTATTGTTCGCCATCATCCTAGGAGTACCCTCTGAGGATCCAACTGTCCACTACAGTAACTGGAAGGAACAGCTGAGAGCTCTTGCCTGCCCTTCCATTCTTCACGAGGTTTCAAAGTGATGGGCTTTTCAACTGCTGCAGCTTCCACACATAACATGTGCTTGTATTCATCATCTCCAAAATCTGGCATGGCTTTGGCCTTCCTATCCCATGGATTCCAAACCACTAAACAGAACAAATGTCATTTCATAACCCAAAAAAGGGAGAATTTTTCCTAAGAAATTGATCGATCATCAATATTTCAAGCATTGTTTCAAAATTTCAAGGCGTTTCAACTGAATTTCAGTATCATCCGTCCGTTGAAATCGAACCAAAATACGGAAACGTAGTCTTCATAAATATGTTCCGTGAGCTGGGGAATGTAATTCTACATAAGCATCCCTTGACACATCAAACATCCATCTTAAAGATGGATGTAAAGAAGTTGTGGTCCCACCAAAACTTAATCAACGTGTAAAAAGAAGACATAAAAAAAATTTATTTTAAAAATTATTATTTTTATATATCCATGTACACCATGGTATAGATTCTCAGGCCCTAAAATTTTGGATCCAAAATCCATCTCCATTCTCTAAGATAGATTTTAGAGGACTCATATAAATAGACAAGTTGGCAGACTCATCAAAACATTCTCTCTCTCTCTCTCTCTATCTCTCTATCTATATATAGATATATATATATATATATATACTCTTGTATATTCATTTGCAGAAACCCAGGTTCCACCAATTATTTATATTCATAAATCTCTTCTAACTTTGAAATCTACCTTAATAAAATGAGTCGAAGATTTGTCATGCAGGAATAGGAAATCCAAGAAACAAACTCACCAGCATCAGGAAGTCCATCCTTCCTAAAGACAAATGTCCTCTTCTTTTCATGATCCAGAACTGCAATCTTGGTTGGTGTGCTGATATATATTTTATCAACCTTTGAATGTGAAAGATATTTCATGTTAAACCATGGCAATTGAAGAAAGAGAATGATACTTTAAAGAAAGAAAATGGCAGTATTAGCTTGTCGTAATAATGACCTCAGATTCAAATGTAATTGCATCTCCTTGCTCTGTAAACCGCTCCTTGTCCCTCAAGCTATCAAAGTAATCGAGTGTCTCTAATCCTTCAATTCGAACTTCACTGAGCACCAATAACCAAATAATGAGACCAATACAATTAAGTTACACTGGAATATATTATATTTAAGCAATACAATCTCAGAAAAAGTAAAGATAAGATTGTTCAATAGAAGAGTTGGCAGGAAAAAGGAACCATAACAGATAGAGTTTTGTTTCGGATTGTATCAGTAAAAAACCTAGAGTTTGGGTCTCGTAGTATATCTATAAATATCCTTTTTGAAGGTTATCTCAGGGCTAGGCCCTGTAGTGGCTGCATGTTCATCAAAAATAGTTAACTTAAATGGGTTTTGAAATGGTTAAATGTCATGTATTAAAAGCAAGTCAGTCCAACTAAAGAAGCAACCATGCGAATTACAGTATGCACCAGAACAGGAGAAAACTGATGAAGTTGAATAACGGAATCAAGTCATATTGATTTCAATTGATGGAATAATTTGAAAGAAAGCCCTCCTTGTATTTATCCCAAAATTGCTCAAGATGACAATAACAATAACAACAACAACAACAACAATGATAATGATACTCATAACGAGGATAATGATAATGATAACACCAACACCACCAACAACAACAACAATAAAGTTTTATAGTGATCTACCATAAATATTATCACCTTTATAGTGATATTATCATAACTATAGGGCTAGCACTGATCAAACATAAAGCATGGTTGCATCATGTTGATCAATTAAACAATCTAAGCATGAAGAACTATATGAAAACATATAATCTAAGACTAAATATTGAATGGATCTTTCTATTTCTCAACTTTTTCTGTTATCAGGAAGAAGAAAAAGGATCTTTCAATCATGATGATTAATGTGAGCCTACAGGATCTCACTCATGAATATCCATGGTCCAACAGACAGCTCATGATATATCAGCATGAGCTTCCTGTAAAAATGAGGCTACATGATTAACTTGAAGGCAAAAGACAGAACACTTTGCAAACCTGATGTCCGAGACAGAGAAATAAGTATGATATGCAAATGTAAACGTGAAAGGCTTTGAATCGGTGTTTCTGATGCGGGATGTCAGCATCAGATCTCCTCCAGGACCAAGAGCAACCCGTAAACGAAATTCAAACCTGCAAATGAGGAGCAAATGGAAAGAAGCTACAAAAATAATGAAAAGAATTGGCTTCAAGAGGAACTAAATGCCAATGAAATACAAGATACTTTTTGAGATAAGCAGATGAAAGTCAAAGAGAAACTATTCTCTGCTACTGGTTTACCAATGAGGCCAAATCTTGTAATCATCATCAGTTGGCTTCAGAATTAAGTCAACAAATGCCTTATTAGAGCTGTTTGTTGGAAAGGGCGGAGGATCAGTGTCAATGCTCCAAACCTTGTTCCTTGCAAAACCATGTTGCTCAAGAGATCCATGACTTCCAAACTGCATGGTATTGACAGGGAGATTGGTTTGTCAAAAGGTTCATAAAGTTATATGGGATTAAGGAAAAAGGAAGCTCAAGGTGGTACATACTTGAGGAAAGCATATCGGTATCCCTCCACGTATGGCCTTTGGAGGCTTGAAAATGGCCTGACAAAGACAAATAACAGGCTGCCTTATTAGAAACAGATAAACTATTAAAAGAAATTGACTGACAAAGTGAAATACCAATACCGTGAAGTGACTGCAAACACTGAAACTATCAGTTCTCTTCCAAAACCAAATTATAATTTTTTTAGTATATCAGTGAGTTGTGAATACATTAATATAGAAATAGTGTATATTTTCATGCACATCTATGTTCTCCACAGAATACAACTCTAAACAAGAGCAAACACAGACTATCAACTATCCATGCAAACAGAAAATAAAAAAGGCAGATTATTAACTATTTATGCAGCAGATGAGAGGTTGGAGCATTAGGACCATGACTAGGTTCACCATCCGAATCCAATGATCATTAAATAACTGAACAAAATAATAGACTAGAAGAATCATTTACATGGTAAGGTTTTAACAGCAGTCCAAATGGAGGGGGGAAATGCATCAACGATGAAACACTCAATCAGTAGTCGGATGAACAAAGTTTTTAAGGCCAGATACGTAAATTGTGCCCATGCACAACTCACTCACCTAAATAACTTGTCCTAGCTAGAAATTTCCTTTTTACATGTTTCATCTGGGAGTAAAAACGCACAGCTAAAAGCAGCAGAGAAATCACAGACCATGGCCTGCCTTCATTCAACATATATATAGAGGTCTTCCCCAAGGATCAGAGGAGATACACATGGCAAACTCAATGTTTTAAAAAACAGTCCGCCTGGCGCCTAGGTGGCCTGGACAAAAAATCCGCACACCTAGACCTATGCGGCCCTACACTGGCAGATGTACCTGGGCAGGTGCCCAGGGCCGTAAGGCCTTTTTTTTAAAAAAAAAAATTGCCCAAAAGAGCAAATAGGTCATTTTGACCCCCAAAGTTGTATAAAAACGTTATGGGGTTTATTTTTAACCCCCAATGTGAAAAAAACAAAAAAAAAAAAACCTCAATATACGAAAACCCCCAAAGTGAAAAAAGCTACAGGGCGCCCGAGTTCTGGGCGCCCGCCTAGGCGCTGGGGGCCAGGCAGGCTGCCTCGGGGCCGCCTAGCGTTTTTTGAAACCTTAGGCAAACTTACAAGATCCTTCAAGAAAGGAAAATTAAATACTCCCATATAGAAGAATTAACTTCATAATTTATCCATCTGCCCACATGATCCACACAACAGGGAGAACAAAATGTTCCTGTATACCAAAGAATCAGAGCCCACTTCCCATGCCTGCTTTAGGGCCATCATGATGCTACCAGTAATCTACATTATTGATTAATCCTCAAGGGCCCATTTCCCAGGGCCTGTATTTTACATAGCTGAGGAAAAGCAATGAGTTACAAGGATGTGTTAAACCCGTACCCGGGTATGAATAACAATTAAAAAATGTTACTTGTACTAGAACGACAGTACTTATTTGATCGCGTATGATTTTTTGAGTCAACTTTTGTTTTTCTTTTAGAAAGTAAGTCAACTCTTGTTACAAACCCTATGTGCATCAAGACTTGAATCAGGTGGAGGTAGAACGCATAGGAGGGGGTTAGACAGGTAAAATCTTATGACACAGGATGTGATAATCTCGACTTCAAGGTTAGAGCATTTGCTTAAGGTAGAGAGCACTGATGGGTAACTGACGTGGTTGCCTATCTCTAGAAAGCTACTCAAGTGAATGTTATGAAAGTTGGACAGATGTGGCACAACGAGGAAGAGTCCCTTTCAAAAACCTGGATACAAGAAATGGCATAAAAAAATTGCTAAAAGAGGCAAAACAAGTTGTTAGTGATGGCAGTTTCTCCATGATGTCATTTGAGGAGAAGATTTTGTTGGTCATGAGGAGCCTCCCACTCAAATAATTCAAAAAGGTAGGAGGTCCCCAACCCCAGGGGTGAATCAAAGAGCTGGTAGATTATGAGCAACATAAAGGATCTCAACATTGTGCTAGGGGTTTCATTCAAGGGGAGCAGGGTTCATAATCAGGACAACTTTGAGAAGCCAGAAAGAGGGACAGAACCAAAGATCCACGAGGTGCAAGGCGGAGAAAGGGATAGGAAGAAGGGTAATGGAACTAAAAAACTTGAAGCCCCACCTGGACATCAAACAACTCAGTAGACAAGAGTGATGCATGCAATATTACCAATATATGCACAAACAACTACTTCGGAGAACCAGTTCCAATATCCACAGCAGTCGACAAACACAAGTCTGTGAAGTTGAGGAAGTTCAGGCCCTTCAGGGTGTGTACAGGAGGAGATGAGGCTTTTAGAGAGATCTCTGGTGCAGTGAGGGGCATCTGGGGAATAGGATTTCCAGGATTTGCAACTAACTGGTGGTTGCAAATTGATTCAAGAAGAAGCATAAGTGTTCCGATGTTCTATGTTTAGGTAGCTAAGATTCAAGGATATGAATGGCCAAATGGCTATATTATCGATTTATTGTGATTTTACATGTGTATTTTTAATGTCACCCAGCTTGAAGCACCACACCAAGGACTATATTGCAGGGGATCTTCATACCATTAAGAAGATAGATAAGCATGGTCTGGGGGCAAAGATGTGTACTCTGACATTGCAATATTCTAAAAAAGCTCTCCATGAAGTGGGAAATGGCATCCATATGGCTAGGTAAGGGTCCTTTGCTTCAGATGTGCTCTCTCTCCATTGGCAACCTTTTGGGGGTCTTTGAAAAAGAGTACACATTAGAAAGTTCTATTTAGAGGTTATAGATGACGGAAGGAAATAAAAATACATCATCAGTACTTGAGTAATAAAGATTCCAAATAGGTTTAAAGGTCTTCCCCATTGAAAGTATGAAGCCTAGTTTCGACAGGAGTTCTTTTAAGAAACTCAGACACTGGATGTGTGTACCAAGTATGCTTTCTTTTTTTTTCTTTTTTTTTTCGGCGGGGGTGTTTGTGTTGGTTGGGGTGGTGAGATGTGGATTAGGGTGAAACAAGGAGGATTAAGGCATGGTACAAAAGGAATTTGACGAAACTCATGCTATAGGAAATGAGAGATATCTTTGGTTCCATGTATACTTTTTCTGCACTAAAAGGTCGTCAGTGGATGAATTAGATGCATGGAACACTCTTCTCCTTCATCATCTTTTAAAGGTAAAATTTTCCCAGCCGACAATTAAATTAGAACATCGAGAACATAGAAAAAAGTTGGCACACAAATAAGGACCCAGATTTATATCTGGAAAGTAGTGATGAGATTAAGATAACAAATTTTCTTTTTGACAAGCATAGTTTTTAATATCGACTGGACCCCTGAAATAAAGCCGTGAAGTTATTCAGACTAATTGGCTAATATTGATGGTTTCACCCAATGGTTTAAAAACCGGATCGGTGACCCGGATCGGGCTTTCCAAAAACCGATCCGGATCGGCGAATCGGAGATCCGGATCGGTGAATCGGCGATCCGGATCGGAATCGGGTGAATCGGTCAT